ATAATAATAATAAAAAGAAACTTAATAATGGTGGAAAGAAAATGATAATAAAAATATCAATAGCGTTAATAATGACACTGTTTCGTTTGTTATTGCTATATAATTTTCCGCAAAAATATGATATTATTATAGATCTAGATCTAAATTACATCTAGATCTAGATCTACAATTTGCCTAAAAGTTGTATCAACAATTGACGTTGAAAATTTTTTATATAAAATTAATACAAAGCCTGTAGGTTTGAAAGTGTCTGATTTGAGTAGAAGTTGTATCACATAAAAAGAATGATCACTTGTCGGTTGGGTAGATTACTCCATTTCCCCGTCAAAGGGTCCAGAAATGAGTGAACATTGAACGATCTCGCGGAAGCTGTTGGACTCTTCTTCCCTTCCGCGAGGGAGAGAGTTCGTTGTTCCTTGTTCCACACAGCACAACACGGCACACACAGGCCGCTCCCCCCTTTTTCTCCGCGACACGAGACGCTAGCTAACAGCTGGCTTATCTGTCTCTCTCGCTCGCTCTCTCGCTCTCTCGCTCTCTCACGGACGATCGGGCGGCTCCCCCCCTCTGCGGGACGGCCCGAGCGGTAGGAAGGAGAGGATCTCGGCGCGCATGCGTAGAGCCAATGATGATAATCATATGAAATACAGAAATGGGAGAAGAAATAATTATCATAACCTTATTTCTTGCAAGCCTTTCTATTGGCTTTGGGATCCAGCGCTTCAAAATCTGACGGGGCTCGTCGGGAGGCAAGGCAAGCCCTCCGCCCAGCGCGGAGAGAGAGGGAGAGAGAGGGAGAGAGAGAGAGAGGGGGGGGTGGGGGTGAATGAGAGTTGGGAGGGAGGGAGGGAGGGAGGGAAGAGGAGAGGGGAGGGTGAGAGGGTGGGTGGGCTAGAAGTTACGGGTGGAGGTAACGGGTGTACCCCCTCCCCTCCCCTCTCTCTCACACACACACAACAATACCCATTCTGCCCCCCTTCCTTCCCTCCCTCCGTCTCTCCCCCAAAACACCTAGCGGGTGCTCCCTTTTTTCTCCTTTTCTTTTATGTGTTAATAGTGGCGTCATTACAACTCTTAAACCTGACCCGACGAACAACGGCACCCTGCCCACCCCTCACACACACAATCACACACA